CTCGTTACCTATACATTGAGTAAGATTATAGTTATTACTTTATTAGGTAATAGGTTGTGAATTTTAATTATAACGCTAAATAATTAAATTGGGGGTAAATTATTCCAAAACTTTTTAATTAGTGAATATACACCTGTTTTTATGTTGCTTGTTTTTTGTATGTGAAATAATTTTAGCCATAATATTTCTACTAGAAAACGTAGTAATCTTATTATCACATTTTTCATGAAAAATAATTATTTACCATATATGAATTACAAACTAATCTTTTAATTTATATAAAACATTCCATTTTGTAAAAACCTTAAATTTTTTGTAATCTGTCAAATGGTTATAACTACAAATTTATGTAAAATATGAACCAAAGTTCCATAACATTACCTGAAAAATGAATAGTCATCACTTGTGTGAGTTAATTTATGAATTTATAAATTAGGTATTATTCAATAAATGGACAGTATACACAATGGATTTTTAAATATCATCGATTTAAAAACCTGATAATATGTTGCCTTCTGCAAATGCATAATAATATTATAACGAAAACAAACTCATCTTTCATAACAAAAAAAAAAAACGATTCAGATATTTTACGTTTGGCATTTTTGTTTTAAAACTTACATAGTTATATTAAGATAATATATATTTAAAAAGCTACATTTTAGACAAATGTAAAGCTATAACTTGGGATAAGTTGATTTAAAAATATTTAAAAAGTTGATAAACAACATTAACCAAATGTGTCAATTAAAAGTTTTTGTGAATCGTGACTAAATTGCAATAAAAAATATGAGAATTGTATGGAAATAAAGATTATATCTGCGTATTCAATATAAGTGTATTAAATAATTATTTGATTCGTTGTTCATCTTCTAGCACATGTCTATGCATACTTATGTCAAGTTGAAGTTTTTGACATATGAATGTATAATACAACTTGTTGTGGTTGTAAAAAAAGCCAATATTTAAGTGTTAGAAATGTAGGAATGTACATCATATAGAAACAAACATTTTACATATAATTTTATTTTATAGGAATTATAATTTTTAGTTAAATTATTATTACGTGTATCATAAACTGAATTTATCAAAACTGTACTCAATTTAAATTCTCTTTTTTATAAGATTTGTTTGTTTTGTTATTATAATATTATGTAGGTAGTCATAATATGGTTAGTGGACCATTTTTTCTAGTTTTTATTATTTCTATAATTTAGAATTACGTAGTGAAACATTAATGTTCCTATATTATATTATGTGATTTCAAATTATTTATTATTTTTAAATAAGCCTAATATGATTAATAAATACAAATAGCAGTTTAAATCCTTAATTTATAAAGTCAAATTAACTTTTTTCAATTTAAAAACTACTTCAACTCAGATTTAATAAAGTTGCTCTCTATTGTACTCGATAAGCTATCTACTCCAACGCACATATGCTTATATATATGTATTATGTGTATGTATGTGAGTGTTTGCGTTTATTGTTTATGGATTGTTTCTTTTGTCTCTGTTTTCCGTCGACACAATCACAACTATCCAATTCTATTAGTCCCAATCTGCCTGAATGTTCGAATCCCAAAATGTCTTGGCTGTTATCTCTACTTTTCGTTATATTATTAGCAATATATTTTCGTAATCATGGACTGCTGTTTTACTTTTATTTAAATCAAAATGATATTACTCTAAACAAAAACAGACCGTACTTAGTATAAAATAAGAGTTTAACAATATCTGATATCTATTCTGGCTATGTTAAAGCAACATAATATAGGTACCTATACAAATTATTAAAAAATATAAAAAAAATATTTATTACGTATATATTATATTTGTTATTATAATATTCAAAATAGATAAATTAGTATACCTACGTCTTGTATTATTAAAAATGTTTGTTTCAACTAAATTAATATTCATTGATATATATAAATATAGTTTATGGTTGTTTTCATATAAAATCAATATGAACTATAAAAAATACGTAATCATCATCTAAACATTACAAACATTATAGGCAATAATAGCTCTCGGCCTTATTTTAAGGTTTTTGTCGTTTCCCAGAAAGAATCTTATAAGTCCGATCGTCCCAACAATAAAATATTTCAAACGACTTCTAATAGGTATATTCGCTTTCTGCTTAATTGTAGGCAATGAATATTTTCATTACTATCGTAAACCAATTCACTTAAAACATCGATAAGTTCATAAAATAGATAGAAAAACATTTAACGGCGATGCGAGTTTATCTAATTTAAGCGGATGATTTTTTTTTATATCTACTCTCGGCCGTTACGCGGATACAGGGTGTTTACCGTGAGATCAACTGTATGTTTAAGTGAATCGTTTCGTGTTAATATCGCCGCTCTGTATAAAATATCTATACTTGGATAATCGTGTGAGTGTGTGTGTGTGTCTGTGTGTGTGTGGACCGTTGTGGCTTACGTGTGTTCAAACTGGATTTGATCGGGCTAAAGCAAAATCACTTTTGGTAGCACATTTTGCTTTACCTAGCAGTAAGTTTTGGTTTAGATTACCGATACGCGTATGGGAGGAGACGATACGACTACAAGAACTGCCGGGTTTTACCGCACCGAACAAACGGGGTCGCCGGCAGGTGGCGGATAGTTGTAGCGTATACCCGGAGAATGTGACGAGCTTTTTAATAAACCGTGTTTCGCTTATTTTGGTATCCTATGGTTAAACAAAGGTTATGGGATTGAGAAACCGAGATAAAAGACGAAATAATATTTCGTGCCCAACGCAGTGCTAGAAAATGACGAATTTGACGACCTCCACCCCTACTCAGCCCGCAAGAGGCGTTTATTGGTTTTAATGATGATAATAATAATAACGATAATAATAATAATAATAGTGATTTATGTCCAATTGGAAAATAATCGCTTTCACAGCTCGTTTTAATATTTTTAAAAATTTCATTTTCGCTTTTCAATCAACGAGAATATTTTGTTTAAAAAACCCAAAGGCGTGCTGTTGTTAATCTAACGAACAATTTTTATACCCAAATACACTATACCCAATATAGATCCGCATTATTACGTATGCGGACGTGATCCCTTCTACCGTTCTCAGAACTGTGGCATTTCACGAAAAATAAAATGTTATCTCATATTCTTATAATGTGAAATTGAAAGGCGTAAAAAACTTTTTCAGGAAACCCGATAATATTCTTTATATAATATATATACATTCAAGTATAATATGTTTAAAAGGTTCCTTATTTTTTTTTTTTACTTTATGATTATAATATATTACAATCTACCCGATATAATTTTCTTCGTATTCCTTTTCAAAGAAATCACTGTCAGTGGGTGGAATATTAAAATATAACATGAAAATACTTACGGAATCATTTATTACAAAAGACCTGTATACAAAATTAAAAAAATATCCAATAGGTACATTTTTTCATAGTTTCAAATTCTATCATAGAATTATTTTGTTTTTCCGTGTATCTGTAAAAAGATATTTTCAAAAATGATAAAATACGCTTATACATTTCCTAGAACCGTATAATATATATTATAGTAGAATTATTTTTACGATCACGTAAGCAATAAATTTTGGCTTACTTATAGGGATTTTTCTTAAAGCACCGAGCATAATTTATATACGTTCATGTTAAATCTTTGGTGGTGTGCCAACAATGTAAATCTAAACAACTCCATGAGGTCCAATGGTTGATAAAATAAAATAAAAAAAAAACATTATCATTAATTTCAATTAAAACACCCAAAACAGAATTTATACTTCCTATGTAGTTCAATTAATATTGGTAATACGCGAACAACATGTGAACGTAATGGAATTAATAAACCGTAATAAATAATGTATTACTGCAGGCAACATTAAAATTTGTGTATAATAGTATAATATTATACTATTGTAATTAGCTTATTGTTTTAAAGCAATCGATTAAAATACGGTAACTAAAAAGGGGTTACTTTATACTTTTTTTAATCACGTGGTAAATAGTTTTGTTTTTGAATATCTGCTGTGACGCAAAACTCGTGCTGAATTGTTGGATAACTATTATTATGTCAGTTGGTAATGCGAATAGATTTGAAAGTTTAAACACAATTATTATTATGAGTGGAAAACATTATCGGTCAATGGTGGTGTGGATATGATGTGATCTTACGAGACGTGTCCAACGTGAGGAAGGCGGCAATATTGTGGTTAATTATTAATGTCGGAGAACCATTTTCAAAGGACTTTGGATAAGAATTAATTTCGTCGCCATAATGATTTTCAAGAGCAAAGTTCGAGTTCTGGTTACATTGCGCACACGTTTTTGCGGTCCAAGGGGTGTGATATAAAAAACATTCACGAAAAAGAACGTATTTTTTTTCTCCTTTTTGTCAACGATCTATACACAAATGCGTAGACGTAGCGATAACTGGGTCAAGGAGTCGCGAGAAAAACTATGTGACAGAGTCGAGTACCTACTTATACAATATGTATTCGTGTGTGTGCGTATATGGTAATAATAATATAGGTACCTTACCTACTGTGCATAGGTATAGTGTTTGTTCGGTCGGGCTGGTTTTATAATACATTTTATGTACAGTAAGTCGGCAAAGTATTGAAACACCAACTCGCCCATTATGGTGAGTACCTACCGCGTGAATACAGGACGGTTACATTCTACGATAAAAAAATATGTGCGATTACCACGGAAAATATTTAATACACGCTCGTCTCTAATAATTATAACGGTATATACATACCTGTATAAAAGGTTTTAAACTATAACTTTTTAGGTACCTACCCAACTGCACAGTTGCTCGTATTCCTATTAAAATATTATAATGGCATAACGAGATAGACAAATCGAGAGTCTAAAATCTATAGGACCTCCTCCTGCGCAGCTAAGCTCGTTTTAGTATTAATTTAATTTATTTTTTAAGGTAAAAATTCCTTAATTTTTAAAAACCGTCATAATTTTTTTGTTTTTTTTTTTTTTTATTTACGCAGCCATAGAAGGGATAATCCTCAACAAGTACAACATATCCACAGACGACTATCGGTTGATCGAGACGATTGTGCTCAAGTCAGAACCGCACAAGGCCGGACAACAGTGGAAGTTCGCCGGAGCATTTTACTTCGCTACAACGGTACTCACGACTATTGGTACGTATATATACCTAAGTTATAATGTATATCATAGACGTTATAATAATATTCACGCAAGCTCTTATATGAATGTGTGTGTGTGTATTAATTGTATATAGATATATAGGTTTATATTTTGTATACATAATCCAATATCAACTACCGTCGACAGAGAATAGCATCGCTTCTAAAAGGATTATTAAGGATTAAAACACTTTGCACCTTTTTAAGTATACCGCAGGCGAAGTGCACTTCGATTCCTCTCGAACGTTTTAAAAATGCTCCACAGTGTGCCCCGATTTTTTACCCTCCACTTAATTTTTAAAACAGAAACAACATGCCGCTGCAACAATGCAAAACATTTTCAGAGGAACTCTTTTAGAGTTTCTTTTCATAATTATTATTATTTTTTTCATGTTGATACTTTTGAACTTTGAACAACAATAATAATACTCGAGTTTAAATCCAATGATTTATAATATTATACAGCTGGACGGAGTGGTCGAGCGGTCTAAGGCGTCGGCTGCGACGCAGCCTACGCTTACTCGATACCTCGGTCATGGGTGGCATTTTTCTTCGGACAAGTCACTGTGTCCGGAGAACAAGTGCCGCCATCCTCCACCCGGGTATGGTAGATACCTACCAACATAAAAACCTACAAAACCAAAGAACAGCTAATGGCCATAGTCGCCGAGTTTAAGATCAAATTAAAAAAAAAAAAAAAAATTGTATACACTTCTTTAACTTATAATCACTGAACAGTTTGTTTTAGAGTTATGAGATACAGCAATTAAACAATTGTTCATGTTCAAATTGTATATGAAACTAGCTTATGAATTTTATTAATATATTGATTCCATGGAACCATAGTATTAGGTACTTCAGTTTCAAATTTTTCTCAGTTATACAAGATTGGGAAATTTAAAATATAATTTCTAGGACATTTTGGACATTTTTTTAGTCATAGTAAAAATAAACTGTTGTACGGATGGAACTAATTCAAATTCTACGAATAACCAAGTCGATTAAATTTATTAGACCAATGACAAATGGTGGTAGAAATTTGTTTTAATTTCTATTTAATGAGACAAACTGTGTAAGAAAATATTTGAACGGTATTATATATTTTATTTATTGATAATATATTAATATATTATAATAGTATATTATTAACATGATTGTATGGGTAAAAACATCCTCCCGTCAAATATAGGCATCGGTCTCTCAGTTAGGTATGCGTAATTAATATGTCGTTACTTGTTTTTCTCCTTAAACCTGCAGTATGCTTCACCTAGTTTATTAAAACGTAGGTTACCATTGTTGAATACTACAGTAGCTACCTACTATGTATGAGTACTATTCATAGTACTACTTGACAATTTAAAAATAATATTCAAATGGTTGGTTGTTTTATCGTGGCGCACAATATCAATGACATGATTTTTTTGTGAAATCCTACTATAATTTTACCTTTGAGTCGGTAAAAATAATGACGTTACAACGCACGGCTAAATTCGTGAATGTCGGTAGCTAATTGAACTCTTATCCAAGTGAATTCACAAAGATGTGGGATCACTGTTCTGTAACAATTTATTATTATTTAAAACAAATTTATTTAAAAACAGAAAAAAAAATATCAAATGATATTACATAATATAATAATTATAATTATTAAAATGTATTGAGGATAAAACTACTGTCCATTTTAAAAAATAACAAACTCTATGAACACAATTAGGTACAGTGTAAAAACTAAAAACTAATATCGGTGTATTAAACTGATCAGCGATCACCGAATTAATAATAAATAGCCCTAATGAAGACAATTTTTTACCATTGTAGCTGGCTGAAGAAAAAAAATTTTAGACGTAACAACTAACATTGTTATTCCGTCATTAGTTATTATTTAATATTATACTACAGCAGATACCGGCAATATAATATAATATTTTTGTAATATTTATTTCATTTCTGTAATAATCTATAGCTAGTTCTAATATTAAAATAATACGATTATTTAGTAAGCATTATATTAAAAACTATTTAGATATTATAAAAAAATCTCAATTTCAAATTTAAATTTTCTATAAAAACAATTGAAAGAAAAATAATTATTATGAACACACGCGTGAGTGTGCCACGTTAATCTACTGATAAAAATATATGATCACAATTTTTAAAATAAACAGTTTTTAAAAAATAGATAAAGATTAATCCGACCCTGTTTCATATTGATTGATTGTACCATACTTTTTGTTTCTTTATTCTATAATAAAATATACAAAATACCAAACCATTGATTGCTTCTGGCGTCGATCCTTTCAAAAAAATATTATATTCAATGTCAATGTGTTAATATTGACACTCGCCGAGTGTCAGTGTTCTAAAATTACGTTCACGCCTTATTTCAACTGATTGAAGAATGATTTATCAATATTTTCATTAATTTTATCTCGTTTGTTGAAAAACTATTGACGGTACCTAACTATAATAATAATATAAATATCTGAAAGATGTTATTATTATTTTATTTTGTTTTAGATATTCCCTAAAAGCTTTAGAATTACGACGCCACCGATGAAACTAACATAAAAAGTACCGAGTGCTAAACTCGATCGAAACTAATTCATTAGGAGATTGTCCGGGAAAACTCTAACTTTCATAATTAATAATACCACACTGTAGTATAGGTTTATGCGCATTGAATACAATAATTGGCATCAAGTCATTTGCTTTAGGTTGAGCCAGGAAATTTGGAATCCGCAAGTTGTCTATATAAGAAAATACACGATGTCACAGCATAAATGCCTTCCTCGGAAAGGTTAGGAAACACTAAAACACCCTCGTCTCACATCATTTTTTTTGTCCTACGTAAATATATTTAATATACCAGAGTGCCTTCTCCCCTATAATTTATACATCGTACTGAAATATCGTAGGAGATCCAAAATCACAGTAATTGTATAAAAAGAGTGTCTCCCTCCCTAGCCTTTTGTAGTGTTCATACCCAGGAGTTTTGCGGGATTGCAGTTATCTGTCGATGACGTATGGGACGTATCTGGAGGACTTGACAATATTATTGTATTCACCGAAATCACGACGTTTAAATAATATTTATTAGATCTTCCAGGTATACACACTCTGTATAATTTTAATCGCCCGTTCTCCTGTGCACTTGCTCCTGCAGGTTACGGGCCACTCGACACCGAACATGAAATCCGGATAGTTGTTCACCATGTTCTACGCGAAATCCAAAATCACAGTCCTTGTATAAAAAAAAAGAGTTTCTCCTGCCCTCGCCTTTTGTAGTGTCCATAACCCAGGAGTTTTGCGGGATTGCAGTTATCTGTCGATGACGTATGGGACGTATCTGGAGGACTTGACAATATTGTATTCACCGAAATCACGTCGTTTAAATAATATGTATTAGATCTTCCAGGTATACACACTCTGTATAATATTAATCGCCCGTTGTCTTTTGCACTTGCTCCTGCAGGTTACGGGCCACTCGACACCGAACACGAAATCCGGATAGTTGTTCACCATGTTCTATACGCGAAATCCAAAATCACCGTCCTTGTATAAAAAAAAAGAGTTTCTCCTGCCCTCGCCTTTTGTAGTGTCCACAACCCGCGGGTTTTGCGGGATTGTTATATCTGCCGAAGACGTGGGGGATTGCGTATCTGCAGGACTTGACAATCACCGATATCACGCGTTTAAATAATATTTATTAGATCTTCCAGGTACCCATACACACTCTGTATATAATATTAATCGCCCGTTCTCTTTTGCACTTGCTCCTGCAGGTTACGGGCACTCGACACCGAACACGAAATCCGGAAAGTTGTTCACCATGTTCTACGCGATGGTTGGCATACCGCTGGGCCTAGTCATGTTCCAGAGCATCGGCGAGCAGCTGAACAAATTCTCGTCAGTGGTGATCAGACAGGCGAAGCGGGCGCTCGGCTGCAAGCGCACCGAAGCCACCGAGATCAATCTCATATTCGTCGTGTCCTTTTTGTCGAGCTTGACGATCGCGGGCGGCGCGACGGCGTTCTCCACGTACGAGGGCTGGACGTACTTTGACTCGGTCTACTATTGCTTCGTCACGCTCACCACCATCGGGTAACTTGACCCATACCTATAGATATTTTATTCGGTATAACACGATGGAGATGTGCAATTCGATCGACGATGACAATAATAATAATAATAATGACAGCTGCACATAAAATTGACAATTTACTAGGTAGTTCACTTAATAATATATTATGATGGTGATGATGAAGATGATGATGATAATAATCACTCGGTATTAAAATAATAAATTATACGTACCTACCTATCTACCTACTTCGGATAATAGTCCCCCGACGACGTTTTCGCGTTATCTGTAGATATAGCACATCTCCCCTCACTGCAGTGGTCCGATTGTTTATGACCAGTTACGAACAAATAAATATTATCATCATTCCACCGTTATTATTATTATTATTATTATAGTGCATGATTTTATTATTATTGTTATCGTTTATTGTCCGACCGTGATTATCTAAGCCACTGTAACCGCTTTGCTACTGCAGTATTATCCTAAAGTTAAAATACGCTTCGTTCGCAAAACCAATTTCTGTACTAAATCAACGTGTACTATATGTATTACATTAATACACGATACAAATAAATATAACATACTGCTGACAAAGTGAAAATTGTATGATTGCTTTTTTATTACAGTAATTTTATTTTTTTATTATTTTTACCTATAGTAACGTAATGGCTTGAGCTTAATAATTCGACCTGACCTTCGTAATAATCTTCCGATACGGCCAGAACTTACGACCACCTATTTTTCACTTATTTATACGTAGGTACTATTTATACTTTACACTCTACACACACCCACTATGTTATCACATTTCACATAATTGAAATTAAAACAAATTATAAACAAAAAATAAGTGTCGATTGAATATTTTCAGCACTAGCTCGTTGTAAGTTTGTCAGTTTAAATTTGATTGTTATGAATATTTTGATGATAATAAATTTATTAAATTACTACAACATCATCCATCGCACTAATAAACGTTAAAACGGGTTGAACAACGACATAAGGTATTATATATTTATATAGGTAGTAGGTACTGCTCTGTGGATTTCTAGATTTTTTCGAGTAAAATTTGTAATACATAATAATTATTATCTTTTTCGAGTTACAAACAAAACTATAGAGGTTTAACCAAAAACTGTAATAATTGGATTATTAGATTTTTTATTATAAATGAACGAAAGTTATTGGTTTTACAATTATAACATGTATTGTTGTTTTTTTTTTAGTTTGACCATTATTACTTTTTTGGGCAGAAAGAGTGCTCTAAAATTTTAATTTTAAAACAATTTATAATAGCCTCTTCAGACACTATACTGTATACATTATAATGGGTAGAATTCTCCCCTATATAGATTGGTTTTTGGCACAGATGATTCCTACTTTTAAGTGGTAATTTCTGCAGTAGTTTTCTAAACTTTAAAAAACCACCGATATATGTTGATTATATAACAATTAATTGCAAGGAGTGGTCATAATATTGATTTGATGTACGCCCTTTCTTGCTGTACAAATAAATATTTGATACTGAACGTTTTTGTTTTTTTTAATAATTTAAAGTTAAAATACCAAGTTCATAACGATAATTTTTAGTAAATGTTTATAAACTTTTAATTGATCAATATTTGACTTAATGCTGATCTTTCCTTTTTAAAATGTCTTTATTTATCTTATTTTTGTTCCCGTTGAATAACAATATCTCAAAATGGTTTAGCTTAACTTTGTAAAATAAAAAATAGTATAATATACAGAAATTATAATACAATTAAACTATAAAATTAATATTATTATAATGCTCATACGTGAATTTAAATTACTGTATATAATTTAATTTGTGTTACAGATTATGGTAGTATGAATAATTAAAGATAACTGTTTGGTAAATCAATTTGTGTGTTTACTGTATGATAAATAGATGCCTAGAATATTATGAGGTACAGATTTTCATACAAAATAAATACATATCAAATATACGTGGATATTGTTACAATGTCTATTGATAAAAAAACTTATTTTTCAATTAGTGTTATGATAAATAATATTTTATTGAGTTGCAGTTTTTAGATTCGGAGAGGAGCGAATGAACGAATTGTATTTACAATGATGTGTGTTTGTTTTTTCTGTCTGTCAGTAACATTTAAGGTAGGTAGTAAAATAATTGCTCTGATTTGCGACATCAGCACTTTTCTGATAGAAAAGTGAATCTAGTTGGTACTTTTGAGAAGTCGAAATTGAAAATTATAAGTAGTTTTAGAAAGCGTCAAGAAAAAAAAAAGTAACAATTTTTAAACAAAACGTATTATTGAAAAAAAAGATTTTATTTTTTTGGTGTGACTCAAAAACTAAGAACCGTAGACCCTTGACATTTTTATATTAGCATTTTCCATGAATGGTTTTGAAAATTTTAAAAATCATTTTTCAATTCATTTTGAGCTACCTAGTTATAGCCTTGAGGAATTTTTCTTCTTTTGTAAATTTTTATAAAATTATTTTCGATGAAAACTTTTTTACATAGTAAAAAAGCTTTGAAATTTTAATAGAAGGTTCCTTATAACATTCATTAATGGAAGTTCAGAAATATTAAAGATACATAGACACGATTATCTTTTATATGCAATTTATGTCCAAAATATCATCGAAATTTCGAAAATTTTAAATACTATTTATAAGTTGGAAATTAGTTTTTCTTTCATAGCTAACGTCATTAGATATATGTTAATAGAAGATTCTCCACAAATAATTTTTTATGAGCTTTTCAACTTATAATTTTTTCTATATTTAATATGCAGTGGTAAATTATCGAATTTTCATTAAACGTTTTTTAAACTCAACCGCTCATCGACTGTTACTCGTTTGTAGTGGTTTGCGATATTAAATTGAAAACAATGTAATAAATCATTAGATTCGAAAAATGGCTTTAAAAAGCGCTTACAGCTGTCATTTTTTAAAAACCATACTTGCTTGAATTATTCCAGTATTTTTCGACGGGATCGGTAGTTTTTCTTTACACGAAAATAACCTATTGATAAAATTTGAATTTACCTTTTCAAAGTACCATCTAGATTCGATATCCAAACTACAGAGGTGATGCTTTAAAAACTTTTTGGACACTACTTTTAGTTTAAAAAGTTTTCACAGCAAAACAAATTTAAAAGTATATGTTTTACAATACTTTTCTTACTCTCCTCAGATCTATATCCTCATTGGGTTCTCAAAATATTAATATTACAACAGTATTATTTGAGGTAAAGTTATGCATAATAAATCATCAATAAAAAAACTATTTCTTACTACCTACCTATTTAATAATTTATGTATTTTACAATATTGTGTAATATAATAATAAGTAAACATTGTAAGTTGTAACTATTTTACTGTATATTGTACTTGATTTATATAGTTCTATTTTTCATCATTGTATCACGTTATTTGTATTATTTTAAAACTATTTCAGAGATAAAAATATGTATTTATTCATATTTCCTGCGGTGGAAAAAGAATAGTGTTCCTTTGGTGGAAAAGAGAATCTAATATTATTATCTAGTCTGGTGGAAAAGGGATAAGGTTTATTCTGTCAAAAAAGAGAGCGTTCTTCAATGTTTGTCACAAAATAAATAAAATAAACAGTAGAATTTTGTACATAAAAAAAATATGCTCATTTTATAGTTTATTTTGTTCAATGAACAATATGCGTAGTATAAAATATATAGGCATCATGATATTGTTATTTACAAAAGGTCATAATAAACGTATACCTGGATATATATGGTTATTATTGATTCTTTTTATTATTTCAAAAATATTTCTTCAAATCAATTAACATTTTTATGAAGTATAAAATAAAAAAAAACCGGGTGTATAAATATTATAACAATATATTATTTTTTCATATTTCCTTTTCAAAGAAATCTGTTTTACTAGAGCTTGTTGAATGTAGTTGTCTACATGTAAGTACCTGTAGCTAATGTATTATTTATAGTGTGTAAAAAGAAGTCTCTATAATATGGTTTTACTTCAATGTTCAAACTATATTTATCGTGTCAGAAAATAAAAATAATTGTCATTCAAGTTCAAAATATTTTGCTATACATTCATATAATATAATATTTAAATTATTAATTATTTTTGGCGTTGTATACCTTTTTATTTTATAGATAATCATATTTATTTATTTTAAACCGACCAATCTTTCACCTTATGGCATACTTATTCAAAACTTATGACAATATTTTTATTGAAAATTTTCTCGAGAAAAAAAGTGGAATCGATGACGATTGGCATGCGTCTCACCTATTTCTGCTACTGTAGTCGTGTAGTGCTACTAAGGGGCGGATTTAGGTATGTGGTGGCCCCTGGGCGGAATATACTGTGGGGGCCCCTTATAAATAAACAAGGAAATATATTATTTTTTTACTTATTGAATAATATTTACTATTATGTTTAGTAGTAGTAACCGTAGTAACAATTAACTACTATTTAATAATAAATAATTATAAAAACAATCAAATCGAGTATAACTAGTATATTAAGTAATATTATCATAATAGAAAATTCAGTGTAAGTAATTAAATGAAAAATAATAAATAAAAATAATAAAAATAATAATGTCAAGTAATTAAAATTAAATGCCGGGAACTTTTCTTAATTTTATTTGTCAAACTTATCAATAACGTTTTGAAAATCAAGTTTTCTTAAAATATCAGACTCAGAGCTCATTATCGCTAGTTGATTGAGCCTGTCACCGTCAATTTGATATGACTGAAATAAAAAAAAATATTTAAAATATGTACCTAATGGAAATTAAATTGATAAGACTTTTTTAAATTTGTATTTATAATATTAATGCGTTTGATTTTCAATTTTAGATTCTGAGTGAAACGATGAATGTATTGATTTTACAATGATGTGTGTTTTTTTTTTTAATTTTTTTTTAATTTTTTTATTTATTTTTTTTGTGTCTGTGTACACGATAAGTAGTCGAAATAATGCTTCAATTTTCGACTTCAGTATCTTGTTGCAT